AGTAGGTCCCCCCTCCCTCATTATCTTCATAGCCCCCACCCACCGCTCATGGGTTGGGGCCGCGGGGGGGAGGACAGTAGGTCCCCCCCCCTTATTGTTTTATTAGGGCCCCCACCCACCGCTCAGGGGTGGGGGCCAGGGGGGGGGGAGGACAGTAGGTCCCACCCCCTTATTGTTTTATTAGTGCCCCCACCCACCGCTCAGGGGTGGGGGCCGGGGGGGGGAGGACAGTAGGTCCCCCCCCTTATTGTTTTATTAGGGCCCCCACCCACCGCTCAGGGGTGGGGGCCAGGGGGGGAGGACAGTAGGTCCCCCCCCTTATTGTTTTATTAGGGCCCCACCCACCGCGCAGGGGTGGGGGCCAGGGGGGAGGACAGTAGGTCCCCCCCCCTTATTTTTATGGCCCCCACCCGCCGCTCAGGGTGGGGGAGGGGGGGAGGACAATAGGTCCGCCCCCCCTTATTGTAATTTATGTCTTTTTTTTCAACAGTGAGCAGCCATAGGCTGCTCACTGTTTAGTAGACATGCCCCTACTCGCGGTATAGCGAGTAGGGGCATTTGGGAGATTTTAATCTCCCTTGTGCTATTATGGGGGTCATATTGACCCCCATAGAGTGAGAGGGTGTACTGGGGGGGCTTATGAAGTGGTGGGGAGCACTGCTCCCTGCCGCTTCTATAGTTACATATTACAAGGAGGGAGCTGCATGCCGGTAGCTCCCTCCTTGTAATAAACTAAACGAACAAACAAACACTGATACATTGTGTTTGTTTGTTCGGCTGATCTTTCTATTCACTCATTCGCCTGTCTGATGAATGAATGAATAGCTGAAATTCCCGTTCGCATGTCCAGGTGTTTCACTGGGCATGTGCGGGAATCTCACAGTCTGCCTAGTGTGGGCTGATGACGTGTCCCTGAGGGACTTCACCTACCCACACAAAGATGGCTGCGCCCTGAATCAAGATCGGGGCAGAAAATAAGGATTTAAAAATAGGTAATGTGGGGGGCTTAGGGGCATTTGGGGGTGACTAGTGGGTCAATTGGATGTAGTGGAGGCGGGAGGGGGGTTAAAAAAAAAACGGGATTCGGCATGACAGTGCCGCTTTAAGTACTTACTAATTCACAAGAGAAATTATTGGAAAAGGGCCTAAAGTTTGCATCCACTAAACCTTTGGACAAATTTAGTGTATATGTGGATCTCAATAAATTTAAAAGAAAAACGTGTCTTAAAAAATTATTTTAAAAAAAACAGATTGAAAGGCTACTAATCCATGCAGAAAATACAGGTTTTGTACATACAGAACTTAAGAAGAATTCATAATTCTACCCATGATTCTGTATCTCTGAGGAAATTACTACTTTTGAAAAAAATGGTCATGAGGGATATAGAGAAACTTAAAAAACCACATCAGAGTTGAAAAAGTGTTAATTTTGGTGAAAGACAAGCACTTAAATAACTGAGACAAGATGAGTCTATAGTGATAAAACTAACTGATAAGGGGGAGGGGGGAATAGTGATTTTAAACAGTGAAGATTATATCCAAGAAGCCCTTAGACTTCTGAGTGATGTAAGCACTTATAGAATTTTAAGTAGGGATCCAACTAGAGAAATGAAAAATGAATATGATAAACTCATAGAAGAAGGTAAAAGCTTGGGATTCTTAACCAAAAAGAATACACATTCTTGCATACCCTAAAATACTGGTATTCTACCATCTACCGAAGATTTATGAGGATAGAAATAAACCCCCAGTGAGACCTATTTCAAGTAAGTTGTCCCAATACATAGACAGGTGTCTGCAACTGATAGTATGCAAATGCCTGAGCTATCTTAAAGATACGCTGAATGTTCTTCAAGCTATGCCAATTTGTTTATGACATTATGGGAACAAGTGAAAAAACACCTTAGTGTATAGTCACTACATACACTTACATATACAAATGAAAAAACAGGAATAGGTGATTGCGCAGGTAGCTTATGAGTCCACAAATTTGTGGTACCCTAGGTTCTGTAAAAATAGAGCACCAACATAGGGTAGTATGTCAAACATATAATATTCAATTGAGAAGCTTGGAAAAACTCACAATTTGATGAGCATTTATAAGTTTGCTCTAAACTATATAGCCGGAATGAATAATTAAGATGTACATGGATCCAATGTATAGGTCCCCCAGGAGGTGTTTGCAGTCCTCAAGCAGGTGAATCAGGAACCAGGTAACCAGGTACAGGTAGAAAATAAATGTATTATAATAAAACACAATAAAAAGCACAACGCGTTTCGACCCAACAAAGAGGGTCTTCCTCAGGTGCAGGTATAAGTTACAATGCGAAATATTCACAATTTATAAAGCAAACAATTAACAATCGATTACAGGTGTATAAACAATCAGTCCCTCCCCTTAATAGCATACAGGTGTTGTTCCAGTCTTTTTTTCCGCCACCTCCAACATGTCAGCCGATATTGAGGAGTCCTATATTATCCCTTGTGACCTTCCCAACATGGCTGCCATACACGGCCAGCTTGTGTTCGTCACTTCCGGTTTGTCCGTTGTCCGGTTAGGTCACTTCCGGTTTCGTCATTACTGTGCGATTATCCGGCGATCTATTAATGACGTTTACACATCCCCCAATAGGGGTGGAATACACCATCAGTCCACAAATCGGCCATATTTAAAATGGGAAAAACGGAGAGACAATAATAGAAAATTATATTACATAAATAGATCGGGAATCATAAATAAATAAAACAATTAAGAACAGTAGTTAAGACTTGTTTTTCTAATACATAGAAACAACATCTCATGATGTGAAATAAGAAATATAAAAGACACAAGAATGATAGTTTTTAATACATTAAAAACATTTATAATGAAAACTATATGTAATGCCAAAACGCTTTAAAATGTGTTAAGAACCAATTAAAACTTCCAAATTGGACTTAAAGGTATAGTGATTTTACAAACTAGAACCAATTTCGAAATCTATATTCAACCCTTTAGGACATAAAGTTTGCAACTCAAAAATCCAATTGGATTCTTTCTTACTTAGATTAAATGTAATGTTCCCTTCCCTCCTAAAGAATTGGAATTTATGGCAATACAGCAAGTCCAAACCCACTGGAAGGGAGGGAACATTACATTTAATCTAAGTAAGAAAGAATCCAATTGGATTTTTGAGTTGCAAACTTTATGTCCTAAAGGGTTGAATATAGATTTCGAAATTGGTTCTATTTTGTAAAATCACTATACCTTTAATTAAGTCCAATTTGGAAGTTTTAATTGGTTCTTAACACATTTTAAGGCGTTTTGGCATTACATATAGTTTTCATTATAAATGTTTTTAATGTATTAAAAACTATCATTCTTGTGTCTATTATATTTCTTATTTCACATCATGAGATGTTGTTTCTATATATTAGAAAAACAAGTCTTAACTACTGTTCTTAATTTTTTTATTTATTTATGATTCCCGATCTATTTATGTAATATAATTTTCTATTATTGTCTCTCCGTTTTCCCATTTTAAATATGGCCGATTTGTGGACTGATGGTGTATTCCACCCCTATTGGGGGATGTGTAAACGTAATTAATAGATTGCCGGATAATCGCACAGTAATGACGAAACCGGAAGTGACCAAACCAGACAACGGACAAACCGGAAGTGACGAACGCAAGCTGGCCATGTTGGGAAAGTCACAAGGGATAATATAGGACTCCTCAATATCGGCTGACATGTTGGAGGTGGCGGAAAAAGACTGGAACATCACCTGTATGCTACTAAGGGGAGGGACTGATTGTTTATACACCTGTAATCGATTGTTAATTGTTTGCTTTATAAATTGTGAATATTTCTCAATGTAACTTATACCTGCACCTGAGGAAGACCCTCTTTGTTGGGTCGAAACGCGTTGTGCTTTTTATTGTGTTTTATTATAATAAATTTATTTTCTACCTGTACCTGGTTACCTGGTTCCTGATTCACCTGCTTGAGGACTGCAAACACCTCCTGAGGGACCTATACATTGGATCCATGTACATCTTAATTATTCATTCCAGCTATATAGTTTAGAGCAAACTTATAAATGCTCATCAAATTGTGAGTTTTTCCAAGCTTCTCAATTGAATATTATGTTTGACATACTACCCTATGTTGGTGTTCTATTTTTACAGAACCTAGGGACGTACCACAAATTTGTGGACTCATAAGCTACCTGCGCAATCACCTATTCCTGTTTTTTCATTTGTATATGTAAGTGTATGTAGTGACTATACACTAAGGTGTTTTTGCTGCATGCTATACTAGTAGCACATTTTTTCTATTAGCGCCACCCTTTCTCCTTTTCTATTTCTATATATCTATTATGGGAACAAGAGTTCATCTACGAAGACCATAGATGGAATGCAAAACTCGTATCCTATCGCCATTACATAGATGCATATTCTTTATTTGGCAAGGCAATGAGCTGTCACTAGAATTATTTTTAACACATCTTAACAATAATGATTGGGGTATTAAGCTGGTGACCAATTTTAGCAAAGTTTCTGTAGAATTCCTTGATATTCACATCTACGTGGAAGATGCACAACTTAAAACTTGTAAGTTTTTCAAACAAGTAGATGTCAACAGCCAAATAGGGGGAAATAGTTGTAATTTTTCCTCATGGCTGTTGAACGCACCGAAGGCACAACTCCTTAGAATTAAACTTAACTGCACAGAAGAAATTAAGTTCTAGGAACAAGCCATAAAAATCATGAATGATTTTAAAGAAAAGGGAAATAAAGAACAATTACTAGAGAGAGCCTATGAAGAAGTCACAAAGAAAGATAGAAAAGATTTAATTAAATACATAAATACAATTAATGGTATAGAAACTTGATCACTCAATTTAATATGTGATTTTAATTGTAAGAATATATAATTTAAGCAAATCATCTCGAAATATTGACCAATTTTAAGAAATGATCCCGTCCTGTATAGCATTCTCCCAGAAAAAAACAGAATTACATATAGAGAGGTAATACGTACCCTAACACATAACCATATACCACCAAAAAGATTACAGAAATAATTTTTCAATGAATCTAAGGGATTTTATGAATGTGGAAACTGTGGAGCATGCAGAAATTCAAATAACAAAAAAAAAGTTGATAAAATAATTCCTACATCCTCAGGATAAAAAGACTAAATGTAAGATAAATGAGTTAACATGCTATTCAACAAAAGTTATTTATCTACTCACTTGTCCTTGTGGACTCTCCTATGTGGGACGCACAACTAGGAGTCTACAAATAAGATTTCAGGAACATATAAGCAACATTTAAAAAGGTTTTGAGAAACACAGTGTATCCCTACATTTTAAGAATAAACATAATAGTTGTTACGGTACCTCCAGTAGTAAATGCATAAACCGCCATTTAGTGAATGCTCCCCGTATGCAATAATGTGGTCTGGTAGCGTATGCAGTATAACCATGCGAACCGCCAGCTAGGGAACACTCCAAACTCCAGAACGGTACCTGTACGGCTCCTTCCCTTCACAAGCTCCAAATGCACGAATCGCCACTAGCAGCCGAACGGCAATAGTTTCCAAGCGACAAATAATCCCAATAAGCAGTCTCTAGTCGCCAGTAATAAAATCCCCCCAATAACGAGACCAAGCTCCGCTTTGAGGGTAAAACACGAACTGAGTTTACTGTGGGCTACCTGCCCGTATTTATGCAGGTCTCCCACTTTGGTGGACACTCCCATAGGGGACCAAATGGGAGACTGAAATAACAGAAGGACATGGGGACATTTTGGACATACATCCCCACAATATTCCCAGCATGCATCACAGTTCCCTCCCCTCTGCTCGGGAGATAATTGGGAAGTAATTCAATTATCTCCCAGAGCAGAGGCAAATCGCCATTTTAACTCAAAGTTACAAAACACATTAAAATCCATAACTTTATAACTTCCGAACGTATTGCATTCGTATAACACATTCCCAGATAGCCTGGATCTGAGTGCATATTATTGGCGAATAGCGCTCAGATCCCATACGCACAGTTCAATCGCCATGGAGTCAAAGTCTATTACAGTTCTTCGGTATGCGATTGACTCCATGGGAAGGCTATCTGGGTTAAGTCCATTCGTGTCGTATTCGGCCGGTATTCGTATGCTTTTGTCGATTGAGAAGGGGAGGTCGACAGCTTCAGCGGTGTTCGGTTGAAAAAGTGTCCGTTTTGAGTTCCATGAAATAATCGTCGAACACCGCTGGGCTTTCGCATAGTCAAAATGGCCGCTGCCTCGTGGTCAACATACGAACGACGACCACCCGGTATTCGGTTTTAATTGAGAAGTGTCTGTGGTTAACCGCAACGTTCTAATTGGGCTCAATAGGTTAACCAGCAGCACACTTCTCTTCTGGGTGGCCGTCTGTTCGCTAATTCCGTTCGACAAAAAAATTACATTCCCTTAAACAAGGCATACGAATGGGGAAATTCATGCAAACGGCAAAACAGACGAACACAGTACTTTTAGTCCATACGGATGGGTCTGTCACAATAGTGATCCTAGATGCCTCCAGTTCTTTGCGATTAAGAAAATATTAACAGACTGGAGAGGTGGTAACTTCATTAAGAGAATTGGACAAAAATAAATAAAATGGATTTTTAATTTAAATACAATGCAACCATATGTTCTTAATGATGATTTTGAGCTGTACCATTTTTGATACATTTTTATAATTTGTATATTTTTTATACTTTTGTATGATTAATAATTTTTATATGATCATTTAATTTGCACTTATTTTATCTATATCTTATTTTACAGTATCTATTTCTTAATAGCTCTTAAATGAAATTGAGATCTATTTTGCATTTTTTTCACTTTACATCACCTGACCACTTTCCCTAATCTTTCACTTTGATTACATTATATTATATTATATTCATTAGCACTTTAATGTATAATATATAAGACTTAGACCTTTTTTACTATCTGCACTTAGATGCAATACATTTATATGTGTTTAAACTGTGTGTATTTTATATCATATGTATAACTCTGTTATATTAATGTACCATATTTTTTGCCAATTTTTCCTCTTCTATATATGGATTAGCAATGAGCCATACAAATGCTAAATTAGCCATGAAGATGGGCATGTATTTCTTATCCCTATATCGGCATGTAAGGGAATTCACCTTAAAAAATTACCGAACAAGACATGTACGGAATAAGTGTAAGCATGCCCCATCCATGACGCTGCATGTGATGAAATGTATCACGTGGGGTATCACCAGGACGGGCTAAATTACTCAACAGGACACAGCTGATTAAAACACACACCTATGAAATAAGAAGTATCTGATTGGAGGGCAACGCAAACGAACTGCCCATCAGCAGGAATGGAGGGACATTTAAAATCGACGGTATGCAGCAAGATGGACACCTATTGAGAAAGCTGTCATTATACAGTGAAACACGTTTCGGTAAGGAAGACTTTTAATATATTTTTATCCTTGATCATTTTGATTTGTTTAGTTTGTATTACTATTGTTTAATACATTTTATTTCCATCAAGAATACAATGCGACTTTCTTCCACTTTGCTGCAAAAGAAGGGTTGTAGCCCCCTTAAAGGCACACTAACCTATA